GTTCTCCTTGCTCCACATACCCACCAACATTTAGTATTGTCAAGTGTTTTTGTTTTAAGATTTTTAAAAATTTACTTATTTGAGAGAGAGAGAAGGAGAGTATGCAAATGGGGAGGTAGGGGAAAGGGGAGAGGGAGGAAATCTCAAGCAGACTCTGGGCTGAACTCAATCCCAGAACCCCAAGATTATGACCTGAGCCAAACTAAGAGTTGGACAGATGCTCAACCTACTGAGCTACCCAGGTATCCCTATTGTTGGTTTTTTAAATGATTAAATGTGTGCATGTAAAGTAGTATCTCATATGGTTTTAATTTTCACATTAAGGAGGGATGATGTAAAGTTGACGTCTGAAGGATGAGAAGCAGATGAGGTGAAGAGGATGGGTGATACGCATGCTGGGCAAAGGTCATGGAATGTGCAAAATGGCCCCAACGTAGGAAGAAGCAGAGCAATCACAAAGAACTGAAAAGGGAGCTTGGGTTGGGGTGAGGCTAGCGAGGTAAGGGGTGGGAAGTGCTGAGCCATTCATCTTCAAGGGGCCATGAGGGTCTGGGCAGTGCACCTACCAGCAATGACCAGACTGAACCCAACGAAGGAAAAAAACAAAACAAGACCCAGCAATGTCCTGGACTGCATTAAACCCCAGGGAGTTCATATTTACCCCGGGGAAGTAGGGATGGAAGCTCATAATGAGCAAAATGGAGTTTCTTGTCATCTCAGCAGAAAGGTGCTCAGAATCGGAACACCTAGATGATTCTGTAGGTTAAGTGGCTGACTCTTGATTTCAGCTCAGGTCATGATCTCAAGTTCTGGATTAGATCCTCATGTCAGGGGAGATGGGAGGACAAGCATGAGGTCTCTTGTCCTCCTTCTTCTGCTTCTCCCCCACTCTCTTTCTCTAGCTCTGTTAAATACATAAATAAATAAAATATTTTTAAAAAGAGAAAGGTGCTCACAATGGATTAAATTTGATTTAGAGAAATGAAATAAATGTGCATTTCCTGCATGTGACCAGTTGATTGTAAATTCATCTGTACCACATAAGGAAGAGTAGGACTGCTCGGTGGTAGCAAGGACCCGTTTGAGGTTTGAGACCAAGAATTTAAAATGAAGTCATTCATCCTGTTGGTGTGATTTTTCTCTGACAACATTCAGCTGCTCGGGTGCAGGCATGAAACCTCATCTCAGACTGTAGTGCTTAGCCAGTTTGTTGTTTTTTTTCCAGCAAAGTGTGTTAGAGGTTGAGGTGGGTAAGGAAATGATTATAATGGTGAATCATGGACTCCAAGCTAGACAAGGAGGGAAACGAAGAATGGACAAGGAATTGGTGGGATTAATGCATTAGAGGTCTCAGTGAGGTTGAAGACTTAGTAAATAGGGTCCTAGCACACAGAATTGAAAGGATGGGAGATGGTAAATGGAGAGAGTGAGGTATTATACTTTCATGTTTCAAATATGGGGCCCTTTTTGGGGTGATTAAAGTGTGGAGGGTATGAATGTGGAAGTGTAGCTAAGTGAAGAGGGTTGTTGGAGGTGAAAAGATCAAAGGACTGAGAAGCCCGGGTATTGAACAGATCATCAAGGTGGATGTTGAACTCACCCATGGTGTTCAAGCATGGTGCTAGTGGAAGGGACATGGAAAGATTATGTGGGAGGTCAGAAGATGACAGCCATCAGGGTGATCAGGGTAATAAATCTGAATAGAAAGAACTTCAAATGAGCAGAGATCTTTGCAGGAGGTGAGTGGGGGGAACCATTAGAAAGGTCAAAGTCAACTGTAATATCACTATTACATTTTATTGACATCCTTCCTATGGCCAATGAACCATATCAAATAAAATCACCAAAAACCTTTCAACTGGAATGGTTTATTATAGATCTTGCCACCAGGAGGCGCTGTCAATAGGTGAAAGCGGACCTCCAAGCAGTCCCTGGAGGCCAAGAAGTGTGTTTCAGCCTGAGCACTGAGGACCTCTAGGGCTCTTGTGAGATATTGCAAGGAGCTCGGCCATCCTTTCACACACCTAACACTTGTAGAGAGATTCTAAGCGTCTGTAAATCTAAAAAGAGGAAGAAGAAGAAGAAGAACAACAACAACAACAACAATAACAATAACAACAAAACACAAACTCCTAAATTCCTTTAAAGAGGTCACTCAGCTGTTGAAAGGTTTTAGTTATCATGTATTTTTTTCAACAAAAGAGGTCTAAAAGTACAGCTACTATTACGTAGAGTTTTATATTTTCTCCAGGGTAAAAGGAGTCCTCATAACTGCAGGTTTTGAGAGTTGATGGTAACACCATACTTAAATTTTATTTTTCCCAGGGGCACCTGTGTGGCTCAGTTGGTTAGCTGTCTGCCTTCAATTCATCATGATCCCAGGGTCCTAGAGTCGAGCTTCCTGTGCTTCTCCCTCTCCCTCTGCCCCTCCCCCTGCTTGTGCTTGCTCTCTTGTGTGTGCACTCTCTCTCTCTCCACCTCTCATATAAATAAATAAAATCTTAAGAAAACTTTTGTCCCCAAATGATTTGTTGTAAGTAGCGTGACATAGTGGGAAGAACATAGGGCTGGAGTTAGAATTGTAGCAGCGGCGGCGGCAGCAATAAGATTTATTATCATTATAATCAACATTTGAGTATTCACATGCACCAGAAACTGATGTGAACATTGTACATAAATGGATCATTTATTTCTCCTATAATCTTACGAGGTAGATACTATCACTAGCCCCATTTGACAGATACATAGGGAGGGATCTGGTCACTTGGCTAATGTCACACAGCTAATAGTGGTCATGGGATGGGACTTAAATTTCATTTTCCCCCTAAGCAGAATAGTTAGGAGAAAATGCCTCTGAATCTCAGTAGTTTAACTCAACAGACATTATCTGCTTTACACGGGTTGGCAGGAGGCTTGGGCTTTTTGGGCTAACTGAGGGACCCAGGCTGACATGTTTCATTTCGATACATGCTTTCACATCACCATTGCGGATCTTCTCCCAAGGAGAAGAGCATCCTCTAATGTCTGCAACAGTAATGAAATGCTTTTGCTTGAAAATGGTGTGTGTCAGCTTCTATTTCACCAGTCAAAGCAAGTCATATGCCACTCCCAACTTCGAGGGAGGGCAAGGAAATGCACTCTTGCCATGAGCCCACAAGGTGTCAAACCAGACTGTTTGGTACTAATGATTACCAGTAACACTCGGTCCCTGGGCAGGTCACGCTTTTCTTGGCCTCAGTTTCTCTACCCACAAAATGAGCACAATCATTTTGCAAGGATCCCTTGTTATGAGACTCCCTAATTAAATGGGGATGTTGATTAGGGTTATAGTTGCATCTCACCAAATTTCCACTAGCTGAAAATCCGTCTCACCACAGGCAGCCCTGCAGCCCTGCATACACAGCTGTCTGCAGAATGGCCTATTTATCCTAGGACACCGGCCAACCCCTTGGTCACACACACACCTAAAGTCTCAGAGGATATTGGTTTCCGTTCCATCTGCAACATGCCACAGCTGTAGTCCCAGTGTTTGCTTGAAAGCTCAGTCTGGAACCACTAGCTGTCCAGTTCATGCTGAAAGCTTGAGACTACTTTGACTTGAGCCTGTGAAGGTCTTGGTGAGTGTTCCTTCCTTCTGGTTCCCCAAGCTCTATCTTTGAATTGAGTCAGATCACCAGGACTGTTTACTTGTCTTCTCACAATTTCACTCCACAGACACTCCCCAGGATGTCTGGTCTGACTCAGAGATGAGCTCAGCTACGGAAACTCCTTTGTTGGCCAAGGATCGACGGTGCTGATAGCAGTTCAAAAAAATACCCTTAAAAAGTGCATTTCTCAATTCCATACAAACAGTAGCGACCACATGGCAGAACTCTTCTCTGACTCCTTTCATATGGGTCGTTTTGCTATGCCATCATTCCTCCTCTTCCTTGTTCCTCTGACAGATTAGGTTGTGAACTTCATGAAAATGGGGACAATCTTTACATCTGGGTTTCACAGCAGATGTGAAAACTTGGTACCCAGCAGGTACTCAATAAATGTTCACTGCATAAAAATGCTTCTGAAGATTCTTCATGTAAGTTAGTACATGATGACTTTCTTGTAGCATTTAGTGTCTATGGATGCGCAATTAGGCTAGCTGAACTTCAGGCCGTGAGATTCTGTGAAATTAAAATAAGGTCAAAATGGGGGAGGAGGAGGAGAAGCGCGCGGAAAAGGAGGACATCTCAAGGGGCGGGAGCAAATGCAGGAAGTACAGGGTAATATCGAACACGAGGAGGCCGTCACTATGCCTGGAGGATTAAAACAGGTGAAAGTAGAAGGTTGGAGCCAGATGCCTGTAGGGGTCTGAGGTCAAAGTCCAGAAGGAAGACCGAAGAGGACTTTGGAGACAATTAGAGCGGCCTAGAGCTCCAACAAATGAAAAGCAAGATGAGAGAAGGAAACATATTGTGCCCTCAAAGGTTCCTCTTGTTTACGGGCGCTCCCGTTTCACAGAGGGTAAGCAAAAAGCACAGCCTCCGGTTCCACCGGGGCCAAAGGAGTGGAGGAACCCCGCCCCGCCCCGTCACGTGGCCAGAAGCGCCCTTGGCACGTGACCCATCTAGCTCTAGACCAATCAGCCTCCGCAGGGGCGGGACACCGGTCTGAGGGGCGGGAGCATCAGTCGAGGCCGCCTCTTCTCGCGAGCCTTGCCGCCGTCTCTCCTTAACCGCCCACGGCCTCGGAGCGAAGATCTCGCGAGGCTTGGGCGCTGCGGTGGTAGGAGGAGGACGGAGAAGGACGGAGCCTAGCTGTTGCTGCCTCCCTCGCTCACTCCCTCGCGCACTCGCCCGCCCCCTCCCTCCCTCCCCTCCCTTCCCCGGCCCCGGCCCCGGCCCCGGCTCCGGCCCCGGCCCATTCGCTGTTCGGTCTTCCGCAGGGAGAATGTCGGGCTCGTCGTTTCCCAGCGCCTTGGCCCTCTCGCTGTTGCTGGTCTCTGGCTCCCTCCTCCCAGGGCCAGGCGCCGCTCAGAACGGTAAGCGGGGTGCCGGGGGCGGGCCGGGCGGGGGCCGAGGGACGCCGGCGACCGGAGGAGGCCGTCCCGGGCCCGAGGAGGTGCCGGAGCAAGGGGAAGAGGGCCGGTCGAGAGTATGAAGGGCTGCGCACCCGAGGGGAGATTCGGGTCGGGAGTTCGAAGAGGCGCGGGTGTGAGAACCGAGGCGCCGGACCGAGAGGTGGGGGCGTCCGTTAGGAGCCTGTGGTGTTGCGGACTTAGAGGCTCCACATTGTGGGGCTCGTCGCTGCGAGCCGGGGAGGGGACACCGGGAAGCCAACGTGAGGAGCTGGAGTAGCGGGGGCGGATGAGGAGGGGGCGCAGCGTTTAAAGAAGGCGGTAGAATCCAGGTATTTATGTTTAAGGCGACGGGAGTGGTGTCAGTAAGGCTCCCCAAGAGGACTGGGGTCCCGGGCACTGGGGTCATCTAGGATTCTACGGGCGCCCCGTGAGACCGCTGACATCCCTAAAAAAAAAAAAAAAAAATAAGGGAGACACTGGGGGGGAGGGGAGTCCTGAAGAATACTGAGCAGAGTACTAGAGCCCCAAGGAGGGGTAAAGACTCACGGAACCTTGGATATGGAGGTGGAGGCAAGGTAGGTGGAAAGCTAAGGTAGTGGGTTGACTGCAGTAAGGGATCTGGAAAGAGAAACAGCTGTGGCTCTCAACGAGATGGGGGAAGAAGGCTGGGTTTGCTAAGGAGGGTGGAGTGTTGGGCATTCTAGGGTAGTGGTTGGGAGAGCAAAAAGGAGTTTCTAAATAAGGAGAGGAAAAATGAGCAGAGGATGGGGAGAAAGGGTTGAAACTTAGGTAGGGGGAATATTTATTAGAGCAATAAGGGTGCCTGGGTACAGAGATGGGGGTGGGGGAAAGACAAAATAAGGAAAGGGAGTAAAATACAGGAAGCCGGGGGTGTAATGTTGGTTTGCAGTGTGGAGAATATGTTAGGGTCGGGAGGAGCTGAGTTGTGGCGAGTGTTGTATGATATTGCTTAGGGCTTTGGGAAGGCAGAGACACATAACTGGAACTGCAGGGGTGGGACTGAATCTGAAGACAGGGAGATGGAGGGAGTGGGGTTTAAAGATCTAAAAGTTTCAAAGCAGAGCAGACATTATTTCGGAGGACCATGAAAGTAGTTCCTGAGATGTGTACAGTCTGTAGTGGAAACAATTAGGTTTTGAACGGAAGCTCTTTAAGAGAAGATGGAGAAATAGAGAAGATCATGGTGATGGGGGATCAAGACAAAAAAGATTCTGACTGGTGATGCCGTGTTACAACTCAGCTGCTGAACTGATCTTTCAGAGGTGAAAAATACTGAGAACTAGTTTCTTCTTTTGTGGAAACAGCCTTTAAGAGGTTTAAACATATTTTTGTAGGAAAGAATTTAACAGAAGTCCCTGCTAGAGAGTGAACTAGAAATTATTATTGCTGATTCTTCAGTGTCTCGTTATACTAGAACAATTTAAAATTACTCTTGTTGGAATAGTTGGAATTTAATGCTTTCATTTAAAAAAAATCAGTGATAGAGTCATTGAAGTTAAACATTCTATGGAGAGTCTGGGCTTAAAATGCTGAGGATTACAGTGAAAATATATCAGTAAAGGATTGAAAATCACCATCAGTTAAATATGGGTGTTTGCTATACCAGATTGCACTAATCAAATCTTATGTATGCTTCATGGCCTTGAATTATCACTGCAGGGGTCAGGAAGGAAATATATTTCTGTCTCTAGCATTGAATATGTGAAGTCGGTTGGGTATTTTTCAGTTTCTTCCAAAGCATGAGGCCACTGTGGAAGGCTGGGTAGAGTTAGTCTGATTTGTCTCATCAGTTTTTAGGCTGTATTAAAAATATGATTTAAAAGAGCCTAATACTAATTTCAGCTGTTTGATTTGTGGAAATAGCATGGTTTCCTTTGGCATGATAGGTGAGAGATTTTTGATCTTAACATGTTTAATCTCTGTGCTGTGGCTTAGCTTCTTTCAATGATTTATAATACGGGGAAATTGTAGTTTCTTAGCAACTAAAGCAATGTTTTCGGATAGGCCTACCAAAGACTCGACTGGCTATTCTCAGTGATATGTGTTCTAAATACGGCATAGTGCAGCTTTTCCTTGAAATGAGCTTGAATTCAGTCATCTGACCTGACTGGTGAAGTGTAGCTGAGCCCTGTAGTTGACCCAAATGAATGTAAATTTTATTTAAGGAAGAAATGGCTCTTTTTTTGTGTGTTTGAGTCCATATAGGTAAGACTGCCATTTTATAGCTTTCTATAACATGTTTTATGATATGATTCATGCTTTCACTTGATAATAGCCTTACAAGAGTCTGACCTCTTGTCATGGAGTTTGTATTTTCTTACAGTGCATCAGAAATGGATACCATTATTTGTATGATGTCAAAATGTTAGATTTATTTACTTAAAATGGTGACTTAGAAAAAAAAAAACCCAAACCTATGTGTTTCTGGATTAGGTATGTGGTAGTTTAGACTGATTATACATGTTTTTCAAAAGGTCTCTTTCATTTTCCTAAAATGAGGAGTTTGGACTGATGGCCCTCAAGGCCTCTTGCTTCTCAGCTGTGACCCAAGAGACTCAAGGCTTTCATTCAGATAGACTTTCTCATCCAAATTTTAGACTTGTAGGATGACAGTTCAAAGTAAAATCCTTAGTTAAGGTGTTGGTTTTTGTATAGATCAAGAAAGATGTAACTCATTTTAGAGGAATAAACTTGTTTTAAAAAGTAACCTTTCTGATACACATTCAAAAACTTTAGACTTTAAAATTGAATGAGTGTAAACCAAGTGATATTATATGGTGATCAAGAGCAGCCTCTGGATCCCGATAGACCTGGGTTTGAATCGCAGCTCTTCTAGCTAAGTTATCTTATATGAAGTGCGTAATACTGCCAAGCCTTGGTTTAATCATCTGTAAAAGGAAGTTTATAATAACGCCAGTCTCCTAGGGATGATGGGAAGATTAAATGAGATAATGGTATAAAGCACTGAGATTTCTGCCTGGCATATATAGTGAGTTTCAGTAGGGAGTGACTTTTTACTATATGTAACACTTGTTACTATATGTAACATATGTTACTATATGTTACTATATGTGCCATATGCTACATTATGTAGCATAACAGTAACTATATGGACTAAATGTTTGCTCACTATAGTGTTTGCTGTTACTGTTGTTATCCCTTAAAAAGTAACATTATTAATTACTTGTTTTTATCATGTATATGTTGAGCACTTAATTGTTAATGCTGCTCACTATCTTGAATAAAATTAAGTAGGCCATCTTGAAGGCCCTGAACAGAGATTTGTGCTTTTGCTTATGTAACTTTAAATGACCAGCTGCACTGTGTCTGCAGTTGCAAATTCAGATGAGGAAGTTCATATTTTCATTGTCCGGGAGATTTCATGGGCTTTCTTTTTCTTTCAGTGAACTAAGTATCTTTCATATGGCTTATGATTCTTTTCATAGAATCCCATTGTTGTGAAAAAGAGAAGCAGAGTGTAGTGCCTGGCACACAGTGGGAGTGTTGGAGATGTTAACTAATGAATGAATGTGGAGTGGAGAGTAAAAATGCAATACATTCATACTGAAAATATAAAATTGGGTGATAGGGCTCAGTGGGAGAAAATGAGTCTAATGAATTTTATTATTAATGAGTGAAATTTTAAGAGACCATTTTGCTAGGTGATACTAGATAGTTGTGAACATTGTCATTTGTAACAATGCCAGTATTAGCAATAGATGATTCATAAATCTTTTTCTTTTCTGTCGAGTGCTGTTTGCTTTAGTGGTTTGGCAATTTTCTCTCCCCGAGTATGTTTTTAGGCATGTACTTGCTGTTGATTGTTCATCTCTTTGGGTGAACTGAAATGAGTGACAGAAGACAGATGTTACCTACAGCATCTGTGGTGCAAATGACATGCTAGATGTCAAGCAAGAGATCTTAACGTAATTAATCCCAATAAGATTTTAAATGACCAGAAGAAATAGTTTGCCTTGGAATAAAGCATTTCCTAAGGAGATTTATAAGCCTCTAGTCTCTCAGGGAACTGACAAGTGTCACTACTGATAGGATGGAGCACCTAGGCATGAAAAATTGGAAAGGTCATGGTACTAAGTCAGGATCCTTCCTGGGCTCTTAGTCTCTGTTTTTCGAGGCTACTGGTTTCAAATTAGAGATGCAGATGGGGTTTTTGGGTTGTTAGACTTAATAAAGCTGACCTATTAATACACCGAGGTTTAAAACAACAAAAGGAAATAAAAGCCCTTAGATATAAATGTGCTCCACAGTCCAAACATTTGCCAGAAATTAAGAGTGAAGATCAATGCAGGTCTGACTTTGAGTGAGTTATATAAATCCTCATGAGAAATTAGACTATTTTGTCTTGAAAGAATCCCTTTCTTTTTCTCAATACAGTTTTGATGTGAAATATTTTCTCTAGAGGATATCTTTAGACAGAAGTAAAAGGCAAAATGTTACTGTATTGTCTTTATTATTTTTTAAAATAAAAGTGATATTTTAACTGGGTTTGCAGAGATGAGCAGATATGACCAGATAAGTGTTCCAACGATTTGGACATGTTTTCATTTACTTAGTTTGAGGTACTTTTTCAAAATAAGATGAATGTAAAATCTTTACATTTTTGTAAAATCCATACTTTGCTGGATCTATGTAAAAGTTTTTGTTTACAAGACAGTTTGGGAAGGTAACAAGTAGCTAGCATCTACACAAATGAAGTGTAGGAAAACAATGTTGGCTATTTTGCAGGAGATGTTCAATAAAAGTTTCTGTAAAAATTATGCACATAAGTTTTGGAAGAAGTGAATTCTGTGAAGAATTTTCTGCATCTGTTCCTTTTTTGTTTACAGTGAACACAATCTGGACAGGATCAGAGGTAGAGAATGAAGTTATAAGAGAAAGGGAAAGACGAGAAAGGCTTCAGGAGTACAAGGAGAAAAGTGGGATGTAAGACTGAGGAATAAATCTTTGTTTGAGGAGCATCTGGAAAAATAGAATCTGTCAGAAAATAGAGCTGGGACCTCTAAAGTAAATTCACACATCAATGTTAAAAAAAAATAATATTAAATCACCTGTGAACAATTGACTTGCCTTTCAGTGTGTCTCTTTAAACAAAACATTATCATTTTATATGAATTTTTTAAAAATGCCATTGATGACATGGAGTTTAATTTTAAGCACCTTAGATAATCCATTTTTAAACTTGTTTGTGAGGTTTTTGTAGATTTTTTTTTTCAGAATTCCTAATTTTAGTTAGTAAGGATTAGCTTTGGGGAAGTATGAAGCCTCTCCAGTAAAAATTAGCTGATTTATGAACTGTTAGATTTTATAGGGGTGTGTGTGTATACATATATAAAATATAGACTTCTCACTGAGTTTAAAGTGAAATATTGCAGTGATCTTATGTAAAAACATTATTTCTATATAGAATGTTATCTGTT